GGCGCGCAGGTTGCCCGCATTGAAAGACAACTTGCACGATCACCTGAAAATGTGGAAGTTCGCAGTCGTTTACTCCTGGCCTATTCCAAAGAGCTTGCAAGATGCAACAGAACAACCTTGAAAGGTACAGCTCCATTGGCTCCATGTTCTGATTTCCTGGAACTGGTACATCTACATGGGATGGAGTTTTTGAAGGCGAGTCTCGAGGCTTCGACAGCCAAGAGGATTCAATCCGTCATGGACACCTTGTTGGACCTGAAGGATTTCCAGCTGTATCCACTGATCGCCCGCTTTGCCGTGACTTTGGCCCGCCACGAAGAATCTTTGTCGGAATTTGATTGGAAAGGGGAACTCCAAGAACGTGCAACGATGTTCCACTATGAAACCGCCTTGCAACTGCTAAAATCTGTGAAGTGCCTTGAGGAGGCTCAAGAGGTTTTTGATGAGGCGGTTTCATTGGAACGTGGTGGCCAAAGAATGATCGCATGGACGAAGTTGTGGCAGACGCCATCGGTATACGTCCGAGGCTTGCGGCCAGTGTCGGCCTGGTGGGAGGCAACGGATTTACCACTTGCAGAGGCAGGGCTGGCGGTGCACATGTTCATTTTTGGTGCTTTGAACACAGATTTTGAGCGGTTACCTTGTGGTCAGCCTTTAACAGGGGTAATGCTGTGGACGACAAAAAAAGATACCCTGAGGTTTTGGAAGAGAATATGTCAGCCATTCGCTCCGAATTGCAGGGGCTTTTAGAGAAGGGTGGTCAGATGATAGTGGATCCGGCTTATCCACGACTGACTTCGATGGGGGATTGGGATGTGATTCGTTTGTATTACAACAAGCACTGGGACCCCACTGCTGTAGCGTTGGCGCCCAAGACTACGGAACTCTTGCGCGACAAACTGCCGGGAGCTTCCAATGGTTTGCCGTACATCCACTACAACACCGAAGAGGCATTGGATCAATGGCGTTTGGTCATTGCTTTTGTTTTTGGTCTATGGCTATGGGTCAAAATATGTCAAGAATCAACAGGATCCACGGTCCCCTCGGCCTTAATTTTGACTTATTCCCGATGATCTATTTCAGATGTTGTTGATTAAAGGACCTAGAATCATTCTATGTTGTTGATGTTGGTTGAATGTTAAACAACAACCTGCATCATAATTGATTTTTAGGGTTCTAGCAGCTTGCTAGGTCGACTTTCATTCAAAAACCAGGTGTGCTTCTTCCGAATGACACCTGGCACCCGCGTCATGATGCATAGCGGTGGTTGCAACGCCCGCTTAAACCTCAGCCTCGGCCTCTTGGGTTGCTCCACAGAGTTGGGATAGGCACGTTCACTTTCCCAAATGGGGCATAGCAAAAAAAATCTAAACCGATCCTTGATTTGATGGGTGAGTCATTGCCATCTTTAGATGTGTTCCTGGCACCACACCCGACCTCAACCCCCGATAAACCTGTGAGTTGGTTGTCCAAAATAGACTCTGGAGACATTCCCAATGGATCAGGGCCTAGTGCAGTCAGACAATTATGTGACTATGTGCCACTGGCCGCTGGCCTTATTGAATTCCAACCAGATTCAATTCAAAACTGTCATAGTAACGATGCGTTGATGGACCACAATGGTTGATGGAGTTGTGAACTGAAAAATCATTACCATGTTTTTTTCCCGCGGGAACTGGCCAACTGACCAACTCAGATAGGGACATACGAAGAAGCCGAAGGAAACCAGGGATTTTTGGGTAAACTGCCTGGATTTTGTAAACGTTCACCTTCCATGACCTAGCCGTGACCTCCCCAGCCTGATGCGTCGAGCACTCGTTGGGATGATCTCATGTGTTACGAATCTTACCCGCAGAACCTAACGTTCGCCCAACATGACAAAATCTACCACTTGTACCACAACATTTTTCACCGCAGAAGGTGCAATAAGGCATGATAAGGCCATTTTTTCCAGGCTTGCTTCAAGCTATTGTAGGTAAAGGGGTATCCACAAAGAATATCCACACTGTTACACGGCAGGGGAATCAGTGAGATTTAGCTTCCGAATTTTCACTGTTTTTTGCCTCCAAATGTATGTATTTTGCCAAAAAGCAAAGCAGTTTTATCATGAACCCTGGAACAACTGGGCCTCAATCATCCTAGCAGCTTCCAATGGCCAGGTTGCAGCGACTCCTTCATTGAAGTTGCAGGGGAAGAGCGGCGCTGGAGGAATGGAGAAATGTTGGCCTTTGATGACTCCTGCGATCATTCTGCACGACACGATGGTGAGGAGGCAGGGTGATGGGGAATGGTCTGACTTCTGCGGAAGGTGAGAAAGGCAACCGTAATACATCTTCGAAATTTCAAACGGAACCCATATCCGGTCAGAAATTCGTTTACCAGACCCCATTTTTGGGCTACGTTAAATCCAGGGGAAGATCGGTGAAAAATTGGAGGTGGGAAACATGGAGAGGCATTTCAGATATGTTTGAACTTTAACCCGCTCGGTGCAAAGCAGTGCCAAACATTTACACTCTCCAAATTCTCCAACATGTCGCGTGGCGCGGGTCAAAATTAGGTACCCCAGTGCAGCTTCTGAGTTCGGGTCCATATTTTCCATGGATCTGTCACATCTGTCACCCGAACTAAGTGTTGGCGATCCACATTTGTATGGGTTGATAAGCTTGATATCCCCCATTGTTTGCACTTGTGACATTTTAATATACCCTTGGATCAAGACTTTTAGAAGAATCTTGTGGAACACACGATTTTTCCGCCTGGCTTGACCCTTTAGTCGCTCTTTCCCCGAGGACCGTTGGGTGTTGACCGTTGGAGTAATGCATCCGGATTTGGTCGAGTTCCCTGGATCAAGACATGGCTTGTCCGGGCAGACAAGGGAATCAGGATGAGAACTATACATTGTTCCAGCTACTATCAACCAAACAGGAGAATTACGTCATACATGTCATATGTTCGTGATGCCGCACATTTTGATCCCGCAATTTCAAATGCGAATTGCTGAAGTGATGAAGGCATCAAGTAGTTGGGTTTTATCGACCAGCTGCTTCCAAGAACAGAACTGCGTCGGAAAGTTCAGCATTTCGTAGGCGAGTTGTCGAATTCTTGGTTCATTTTCGGCCCATCCAACACCAACTTGTCCTTTTCAGAAGTTGGGGACACAATTGCTCTGTGTTGATTGTCCCCAATCAGCAGAACCTATGGTGGGGTTTCAATTTTTAGTCACGTGCTTGGTGGCTGAGTCTAGGTACCAAATAGATTCCTATCCTTGATTATACAATTGTACTAACCCACCTAGCCTCAAGAAACCGGGTGGTAGTACCCCAAGTCATCCAAGTCATGAATGACTGTGACTTGGTATTGAAACAACCCTGGTGACTTGCGGTACCTCATGACTCAGGACCCCCCATAGAACACTTGGGTGCCAGTAAATGGCTCAAAACCCCCCAGTTAGATTCATGGAATATCCTCACTTATGGGATGAAACAGGGGAATTATATACATGGAATTACTACCCCGGCGCCGAGGCGCCCCGAGATCTTCAGAGATGTGGGACAGTGGCGCAGCGAATACGAATCCTTCGGACCGGAAGTTTGGGAGAAAAAACATGCCGAAAACACACCTTTTCGGCGGCGCTTGATGGTCATGGGCAACAAATGTCGGGACTTTGAACATGATAAAATCCAACAAAAACACCTCCAAAATTGGAGATGAGGGTGAATTAGACCACCTATTTCTGGTAAATTTCCATGTGTTTTTGGTTCAATTTTGGAAAAGTGGGTGTCACATGGAAGTGCCAAGGAAAAACCTCAAAGATTTGGCTGGTCTTGAGGTGCCCAAAATTTTTTGGGTGCATCCTTTCACCCGTTGGAATCCTGAAGGGTCCAGTTCCAGCTTCCAGCTTCCAGGTGCCTCGAAAAATCAAGCAAACATGGCTGGAAAATCGCTTTAGTTCGATGATTTTCCAATTTCCCATTTACTTCGGGGATGAAAATCAAGCCAACTTTTTGATGACACCGGAACTGTTCCGTGCAACGCGAAGCGCGCGCCTTCTCCGCGAAGCGTTTCATTTTTCAAGTGCCGAAAGAGTAGCCGGGTGCCGTTTGCATCCGATGGCACACGATGTTTCTCGATGTTTGGACGGAATCAGAAACTCAGTTCCAAGGGATCCCCTTGACTGTGGCAAGTGTCAAAGAGTGAAATTAATTATATTGGGCATATTGTGAGCAACTCTCAGATTTGTTGACCCAGGGACCCAATTTTCCGAATATGGAGTGATGGCTCACCAAAGAAATCTATGTGACCTGGATGATGGGCTGATTGTTTGACTCCAAGATTATATATATGTATATTATATATGTATATATATATATATATGTATATTATATATGTATATGATATATGTATATGTATATATATATATATTATAATATATATGTAATGTATTAATGTATGTATGTATGTATGTATGTATGTACGTATGTATGTATGTATGTAATGTATGTATGTATGTAATGTATGTAATGTATGTAATGTATGTAATGTATGTATGTATGTATGTATGTATGTATGTATGTATGTATGTAATGTTGCACTCGTATGTCTGTCCTGTCCTGTCTGTCCTGTCCACTGTCCCTGTCTGTCCCTGTCTGTCTGTCTGTCCTGTCCTGTCCTGTCCTGTCCTTTCTTTCCTGTCGTTCCCTGTCTTTCCTGTCTTCTTTCTGATCCGTCATGTTTCTGTCTAGTGTCTGTCTGTCTCTGTCTGTCTCTGTCTGTCTCTGTCTGTCTCTGTCTGTCTCTGTCTGTCTCTGTCTGTCTCTGTCTGTCTCTGTCTGTCTCTGTCTGTCTCTGTCTGTCTCTGCCTGTCTCTGTCTGTCTGTGCCTGTCTCTGTCTGTCTGTCTCTGTCTGTCTGTCTCTGTCTGTCTGTCTCTGTCTGTCTGTCTGTCTCTGTCTGTCTGTCTGTCTCTGTCTGTCTGTCTCTGTCTGTCTGTCTCTGTCTGTC